GCAGCCAAACCAGGCCCTGAAAACATTCCTTCCGTCACACCGAGCAAACAGCGAGTTTTGGCGTGATTATTAGGATGTCTCAAGCCGAGAGCTGAGTTGGCCAAACCAAGCCTTGCAATGCCACGGAGGGCGTCTTCGAAAATTCAGACCCGCCTGCCTCCAGAACGCATCCAAATCTTGCTGTACAAAGTCCTGCCGCTGACATCGGGAGACTTCAACGCAGCCTGGTTCTTTGAACTAGCAGCATTTGAAGGCCCAAATTCGCCCAGTCTCCTCCAAGCTATGGGTCTCGGAAAGAGATCCAGGCAAAGACACCTCACGTGGACACTTTAGATGAAGTCCTTGCTGCACCCGTGTCTTCCCCAACCTCTTCTTTGGCTACATCCCGGGTAACGCGATCCTGGCATGTCTGCTAGAGCTGCTGTGACATCGACATTTGCCAAGCGCAACAAACTCAAGAAATCCCTGTGCATGGGCGAGAGACCTCGCTTCGGCTGGTGCTCGCACGCACTGTGGTGTCCCGGATGTCCCGGGCATGATTGGACTCGGAGCGCACCTGCGAAACATGTACTCCGTGTGGCTCTGGTGGGCCATGCACTGCATGCAGGCAGAGATGTCAAGCTCGGTTGTTGCGGCTGTCTGGGCCCTCACCGCGCCACCACTTGCGCAACAACACCCCCAAATAAATGCCTGACAAGGAAACATGGCGCCGAGCTCCCGAAAGAATGGCCTGGCTTCCTCGGCTGTGGAAACGACGGCTCTCGACTCGATGCACCTGACAGCGCGGCGTCAGCCGACAAATCGGATTTTACATTTTCTCGACTCGTGAAGGCCCCCAGTCATGAAGGCCCTAAACGTCCCTAAAATCCCTAAACCCTTTTCGCTCCTCTGGGAGGCGGTGCAGACGGAGCCCTCCTCAGACTGCACCGCAGGAGCCGACTCCGAGATATGAGATTCAGTGGATTCGGTGGCTCTTTGTGAATTCTGTCAGACGCCCGGCTCGCTCGGCTTCGGGCCCGTTCGGTCCATTCCAACAGGTGACCTGTTGAACTTCTGAAAGCGCGGAGCCGTTTGGAAATATGCGGCTACTGCAAGAAGCGTTTAAGAAACTACAAAACTTATCTGACGAGATCCTGGCAAGGCTTGAGCTAAACCTTGTCTACAGAGTTCCCATACAGTGCCATGCAGTTTCAGAGCCCACCGCCTGGAGAATGACAGCACTGTCCCGGGCTTGAGACACAAGCAGCGACAACCAATTCGCAAACATCACAAGAAAAAGCATCTCCTAGCATTTACAAGATGCAAACATCCCAACATGTGCATCTTTTGGCAAGCAAGACATCTAACTCTCCATGGCTGTCCTGCCTCACGGGTGCAGCGCCTGAACTCATCGATTGCTTTTCCATGTCATCGACAAGACGCGTGAAACGAACGCGAAACAAACACTGTACTACGAAGTTGGTGGCCCTCAGCTTTGCACTGTACAGAGGCCCTACACTTGACAGAGGCGCTCGCAGATCACCCATCGTCACATCAAGGTGAATTCCACACAATGTCATGGCCACATGGCCGGAAGCAGAACGGGACCCAGGACCTGGGATATGCACCGCTTAGCTTGGCACGTACTTATCTTCGCTCCGTCGTAAAACAGAATTTGAAAGGGCATACAACAGCCAAGTGACCGGGCGGCGCCTGTGCTGCTTGGCTGGATAAGCGTCTTCTGGACGAGGATGCAGCTACATTCGCCTGACAATTCAGCTCGAGAACACTAAGGCTAAGTGAAGGTGACAATGCAACACCGGTGCCTCGTCACAGATTGCCCAGCTCCGCTGCAGCTTTATGCTGCTCAAAGAATCCAGATAGCATCCAATCGTCCATGCATACTCTGGCTTCGCCAAACAAGGCAACAAAAGCAGATGTGCAGGAATGCACTCAGCGTACAGCTGCTCACGATAAATCAAGGTACGGAGGCTGCAGCGCGCACAACAAGGGGAGTGCAAGTTGAGCTTTCAACAAACCAAACTCGATGCAAAAGCATAGCCGATGATTGCACCTACCCCGAGCACGGTAGAGTACTCGGTAGAGGATTGTTGGAGATTGTTGGAGCAAAACATGCAGCCACAAAGACCATGCAAATGTGGCATTCCCGCTCTTCTGGAAATCAGGCCACCGAGAACCAGGCCGGAAAACAGTGCTTTTGCCGAAGGAGTTCATCTTGCTATACTATGCAAACCTTGTTCCAATGAACTAGAGGATGCAGATGGATCTCGACAACAAGCAGTTGCCTGGTGGCTGGATCTTTTTTGGGGTTTTTTAACATCGACTATCTGGATGATTCGTGCCCATGCGTGTCTTGGCAAAAGCAAACAAAGCCCGCTAAGCCTTAATAGAGACCCCTCTCACGAAGCCATTAAGTGTTAGCAGAAACTACAGCCGCCCAAGCTGGCGCAGCGGAGATCAGCGGAGGAGTGCAGTTGAGTGTCAGCAAAAGCGCGAGCTGGCCGAGATGGCCTCTGTTCCCGGAGCGAATTTAGCTCGCTGCTGGCTGAACGAGGCTTAGCTAACCGTCTCACCGGCATGTCGAGATCGCCTGAGGACACGTTCGGAGCAGAAGTTTGCGTCCATATATCTAGAGCCAGATCGGGTCGAGTAGCCATTCAGTGAAGGCATCAGTCAGGAAGATGGTGAGCGCCTAGCCATGAGCAATCACCTCTCCCCCCGCTCCTTTCACATTCAAACCTGATACAAGCTTCGCCCGCACAGCTAATCAGCTCAGGCGGAAACAATCGGCACAGCACTTGCGAGGACATTCTTGTCAACACCTCCGCAAGGCACGTCGTCTGAACCCGCAACAGAATACAAAAGGGCTTTGTGCGTCCAGCATATCCCAGCCTCTCAAGAGCCACCGACCTTCGAATCTAGTTCGAACGGTAAGACAAAGCAAGCTCAAAAGCGTCTCCGCAGGTCTCCGCATTGCATCCAGGAGTGTGACATGCCGTGTAACACGCACAGCGTCTCCCGGGGATCTAGCAGCCCTCCACCCGCTGGAGCCGCTTCACCTTGCAGACGTGTTGATGCGAGGTGCGCCACGCTGTTGCAAACTACTGGTCGGCTGCTTCAGAGATTTGGTCAGGAGTGCAGACGACCTTAGAATGGAGAGATTCCCTGGAACGACTCATCCAGACCACAGCTTGAACCAAGTCTTGTGCAGGGATGGCACAAACAAACCCGACACGCTTCAGCTTGACACTTGAGTGAACAAAGGTCCACCACAAATATAGAAGTAACGACGAACGAACATGCTCATGTGGCACCAACAATAGTGGCACGACGTCCTACCAATAGCACCATGCTTAATGCAGTGGGACAATCAGACGACAGCTTCTTGACCACGTGGCTGACAGAACCCGGTGAGGTCCAAGCAAACCAGGCGACTCCAAAGCCACATGTACTAAGGCCACCACCGTGAAGATGAAGCCTCGACCCAGCGCATCCAAGAGCAACATGTGATCACAATAGAAGCCGACCGTACAAGCAACAGGCCGGTCAACCTTCTGTATGAATGTCTGTAAAGCACGAACTCTGAAATCAGAAGCTCACGTTCGTTCTAAAGCAGGATCCAAGACACTGAGGGCAGCCGAGAAGCCTTTTCCTGACTGGTACATCTCATTCTGAGCCACGTCGAGAGGATTTGTCAAGACGGATCCCGCCTTGAACAATTTTTGACGTCGGTGTGCTTAGCACGGCAAACCACAGCAATGAGCGCCAATTGTTACTGAGAGTCCCAACGACGCTGGCAGCCGCCGCCTTCTTCATCGATCTAACCACCTCTGCTCATGCTGATTTTGGACAAAAATCTGCGCAGCACCTTTCGCAAACCAGTGAGAGGCTGCCTTGAAAACCTGCAAGACACATGTCCAACAGCTTTGCTTTGCTAGGATTGGCTATAACAACGGAAATTAACACACATTGGGCCGTGGAAATACTGATCACCCCAATGTGGACGATCAAGCGGCCATTTACGCTAATTTACAAATCAGCAGAGAGAATGCGCATCACAAGATATCACAAGTTATGAAACCCCCCCAAGGTGGGCGCCACTATTTGTTGAGAGGTTAGAATCCACCAAACCTGGCGGACACTGACGTTTCAGGCTATGACTACATACATACACCTTGCATACATTGTGGCCAGCAGATGCTCGATTTTGTTCGTGCGTTGCTCAAAGCCCCGGCTGACCAACCAACATCTGTTCGAGGGTGTAGAGGGTGTGTACGACGGGCCCAACCTGGTGATGGAGACCAACTTTCAAGAAGGCCAAAACTTCATGCGGATGCCCCACTCCTCAGCGTCGCCTCGGATGACCTAGGCATTGGCTCGACCCTCTGATGGACGCTCCATCGTAAGGTCGCCGGGCTCTGTTCCTCTGTTCCCAAGGCCCGACGTGGGCGCTGATCGAGTATTACATAAGGCGATGCAGGGCACACCCCTCCCCCAGTGGGAGCTGCCAGGAGAACAAGAGTTTGCAAGAGGTCCAACTCTGGCCAGAGCCATTGCTTACTACAGTGATCTGGTTGGTGATAGTTTGGGACCAGGGAGATGAGAGGCCCCGGAAACTCACGCAACGACAGAAAATTCCTCATATAATATTGGCGCTTTCGTCGGTCCCAGAAGCTGCTGCTCTTACTGGCATACTGCAATGCATGAGTTCGACAGCGGCTCTACAGGACGAACACTCAAGCAAAGCCCATCGAAATTGTCGATGCGTCTTGGTGAGCTTTGTGTTCAGCCCCGAAGCATCCCGAGACGAGACAAGGCCATCTCAGAGGTACATGTCGAGCCAAGCCAGCGGGCAAGGAGCGAACAAGTACCACGTGTTTATATACCTAACCAACTGCATCTAATTTCCCAAACCAAAAGAACCCCATACCGTTACAATGTCATACCGTCTAGCAACAAACTGCAGAAGCAGCAGAATGCAACGGCAACGAAGGGATTTGTTAAGAAGCAAAGGCTTGACATAAGGCTGCCACAGAGCTTGCCATGGTCTGATCATCTTGAGCCAGCAGCTCTTCCATGGCATCCTACATTCATGAGTCGGCGTTTGCCTGTCTACAAGTGTAACAAAAAGACGGGAATGCCTTGGCACCAACTGCTGCGACATACTTCGGAGCCGTTCGCAACACGCTCACCTGAAGAGTATGACGTCCGTCCTTGTTCATTGTCGCGCTGTTCCTGAATCACAACCCGACCGAGGTGCGGACACCTGTTCCCAGCCACAAAGCTCTCAAGCCTTTTGTCCTTCAGGGCATGATCAGTCCCGTCAACTTCTTTTTTTCCATTGGCTGACCTGCCTCCACAGATACTGGAGCACAGCCAGATTTGGCGAGTGGCTGCTGTGCGCGAACTTTACCTTCAGGCAATGGGAGGACAACGCTAGACTAGCCTTACGCATCCGGAGAAAGCCCTGCACTCATCCCAAGGCACAAAAACAAATAGGCGATGGTCCGAAAAGTCTTAGTCTGCTGTTTGTAATGGCGGCCTGCGGATCTCCTTGGAGCATGACCGAAGATCGCACGAAGGGCTGGTTGGCCACCTGCACGTGGGCCTCGTCAGCTCATTTGGGCCCACCCGATCTCCGTGCACGGCAGCCAACTGCTGCAACCAAGTTTTTGTAGATGCCGGTGTGAACTACCACTCCTCTTGCATCAGGCCAAACAAACACAGCTTACAATCGCGGCCCTATTGGGCAGAATGGCCCTCTCCATCCCCAACTACTCAAGTGCACTCCCCTGTGTTGCCACTTCGTTGCGTGTTGCAACTGAGGGAGGCACGGAGATCAATAGCCTTAGCTCAGAACGAAGGACATACAAATGGCATGCGCGGGCCTAAGGACAAAGGCCTGGAAAGCTTGAAGGTGGCATGCCGCTATAACTTTGGAGAGTGTCGACGAGTGCCTGAGACTGTCCTGAACAGATCTGAACAGTATGCTGAGCCACGGAGGCAGGCACGATGCCCACACGCTGCTCCAACCACATCTGCGGAGCCATCTTGATCCCTCATCCGAACCTTGGTATCTCTTGGTAGCGCGCATGTGAGCATTATGTGTCCGCTCTACATAAGTCTGCCAGTGAGGTTTGCGCCAAAGAAAATCATTGCCTGCGCCCATGTTCTTCCAGAAACCTTACGAAAACATCGGCATCAGCAGTACCGATAGGTTCACTAGGTCACTAGGCCTGGAATGTGAATGCGACTGCCGTACAAAGCCACTCACGTCGCATTAACTGTTGGATGTTCTGAACGTGTATCTGGATGTCGAGTGACCACCACGAAGCTGCCCCTGTATGGAGGCCGCGCTGCCTGCGATAGAGCTCGTGCTGAGACATCCCCGCAAAACGTACCTCGCCACATTCACATGGATGCCTCGCCTCCAAGAATCGTCCCAGAGGGGACTCTGCCGTCAATGCATATCCAGACCTTGGGATATGCATCGCTGCAACAGGTTTGTTGGTGATGCCTCAACTCATCAAGAATCTGACTGGCCAATGGTAGCTGCCTTCCACACTGGAAATGTGACGAGGGACGACACCTCAGCGGACTTGCTGAGCCAATAGCCAATCTACAAATGCCAGGATCCACCATGGATACTGAGCGCCAACAGCTCGGCACGGCCAGCTGGATTGTGTGTTAAGGTGAGCACAGCCGATGCTGCGAAATAAGGGAGCGGGTCTGCAGCATTGGCCATCGCTTTGGAATGCCGAGCAATGAGCTACGTAATCGATGAGCAACTGTCCCTATTCTTTAAAAACTGAAGCAACGTGTAACGTTGCCGACCTCTGGCAGTGGTCGCGACTGGGTCTACTGAACTGCCCAACCAAATCTGATTTCTGGCGCCACATCTAGGTGTTTCTCAGGCCATATGCTTTGTTGGCCTGCGTGCTTTCGAGCATGTTGCCGCAGTGAACACGGTCTCCTTAAAACACACACAAAGGAATGCCAGTTATAGCAATGCCCCTCTGCCACGGCAGGAGCGACTTTCGTGCACAAGCCCTCTTTGTCCAACCTTTTTGATGATTCATCCAAATACGCGCTGTCCGAAATGAGTGAGACATGTACTCAACAACATGGCTTGAACGGTCGGCCACCATCCGCCACAAAATTTGGCACGATCAGCAGCAGCCGCATGTTCACAGAGCGCACGCTAGCCAACCCCATGGCTTCGCCTGCTTCTGATGCTTTCCAATACAATCCAATAACGAGTGTGCTTCTTCGAGAGACTGAGTCGTTGGCCATGTTGCTTTTCTCCTTCTCCCACCCTTCTTCGACACTTGCACAGCCTTCGGAACCTCACTCAACGGCGAAGGCTCCATAGGTCTGAGATGGTCGGAGTATAACATACAAAATCTATATACATATAGATGTACATATGGATATAGATATAGATGTACACATATATTTGTTTATTTATTCATTAGATTTATGTCTATATTTATTTATCTATTTATGTTATATAGACTCTAAGTGCATATCCTGAGTTTTGAAGGCATCCGCGCCTTGGCTGCAGCAGCCCTCGCACCCGGAGTCCCACTTCCGTGTCCTCAGGACCGTGTGGCCATTCCTCACATGCACCCTTCTCCTTCACAGGAACCACCGGGCCGGGCCACCGAGCCCCCCATCCCCCCCCCCCCCCCCCCCCCCCCCCCCCCCACCCCCCCCCCCCCCCCCACCCCCACCCCCCCCCCCCCCCACCCCCCCCCCCACCCCCCCCCCCCACCCCCCCCCCCCCCCCACCCACCCCCCCCCCCCCCCAGCCCCCCAGTATCAGCCAGTGAGCCAGTGCCAAGCATCGACTTCCCCTGCTCTGACCAGAAACGGAGCGCAGCAACAACCAAAACAAACAGAACAGGAACCGCAGAACTCCTCACAGATTGTGCAGACTAGCTGTCCTGGTTTTATGCTCTTGCTCGAGGGGCTCCTGATCCAAACGCAAATTCAACATAATTCAACACAACCATGAGATGGCACGATGTTCATCGCCGCTCGCCTAGCCATCTTCACGTCCACTGCAGTGGCAGCCGAAGCCTTCCAGGTCCCTCTAAACGTCCTTCCCCCCTCTCTCCGCATACGTGAGAGTAAATCTTGCACAAAAGAGGCGGTCAAACGAGGGCCCAGACAGCAAGACGTGTTCTGCCTCCATGCTGGTCGTGCCAGGATTTGTTTGCCAGCATCAAAAGATCTCGCTGTTCCAACCCAACGAGCTCTGCACCTTCAGTTTCGGCATCTCGCCTTTGGTTGACACTCGGGCGCATGTTGAAGCCAGATGACAGGGGCGGAGATGCGCGAAGCACTCGCACACCACTCGCAACGGTGTTGGTGAGCCTGCTTGTTGTTTGATGCAAGAGTATTCGGCGCATCAAAAGCCTGTCATTAGGTTTTTGGTGACTCTGTGGATTTGCGGGCACGTTGACATGGGACTTTGACAGGCAACGCAAAAGCCCTGCCGTAACACTTTAACCCTTTTCCTTCGTCTTGGTAAGTAGCCGTTTGATGCAAACCTGGTCGGCGAGGCAAACTCTGTGCGGCAAACTCTGTGCGGCCTCTGCTCGGCCTCGTTCAGGCCTCGTATGCAATGAGTGTCATTCCAATCAATTGCATCTGTCCACAATTTTGCATGAGCCGTTGGCAGTGACACTTGGCTCTTCTTGGCATTCCTGGCTTGGTTCCTGCAGGAGCAGGGTGACACCACGGAAGAGCCATTTGAAGAAACCCAAATAAACCATCCACTGCGCAAGTTGAAGATTGGATTAACTAGGTTGGATATTTTGCAGGCGCACGGTTGCATCTCATGCCGGAGCAGGGTCCTCTCACGCTTCAACCTGGGATCTAAAGACGTTGAAAAGTTGCCAAATTGCGCAGTTCCTCTGGGCTCTGGGCTTCTTCTTCGTTAGTATCTGACGATGCCTCCATTCAAAATTAGAGAACTCTGTCGTCTTTGCAGAGAGATGAACCCGACTGCGAAGCCGATCGTATTTGCGAGAACAGCCTCCCAGTCTTATTGGCCGCAGCCCGAGCTTCGACCTCTGCCAGCTGGATTAGACATTCAATAGACAACACCAGAAAGCACCCTACAGCTTTCAGCTTTCAACTTTTCAACTTCGGCACTTGAACTTTGCGACTGCTGCGCCGCCTTCGCCGCTCGAATCTGGCCCTGGCTGGGAACACCTCGAATCGTTTTACACATTGGCTACACCTGGACTAGCCGAGCGAAGTGTTCTTGCATTCTTCTTGCAGCGAAGGAGACCCATGCTGGAATCAAGCACCTCACATGCCAAGCTGGGTTCGACTAAACCCTCTACTGCCTCATCCATTGGTCAAGGAGGTTCGATCACGCTCCGCAATGTTCTGCAGTCAACAACTACTTGACTGCGCACGAGTGTTGAGGCCGAACGAGGCACTCCAGCACCACAGGATACCACAGGCTTCAGCTGCACATAGCTAACTTGGGCAGAACTCGCAGCACTCTTGTGCCCTCTGTGAAAGCATGTCTGAAAGCGAATGACAGGGGCCAAACACAGCGAAAGGGAAGAAAGGAGGGAGAGGACAGGAGGATCGGTGGAGCTGCAGAGGTCTCAGTGCGACTCTTTCAGCTTCTGCGCCGTGGGACTCCGGCTCCGCCACGTAAGCTACGAGCTCTGCATGGAGGTGTATGGGCTACTGCTACTGCAATCTGCTTTCTGCTGTTGGAGCGGTGGCTCACAGAAAAGCGCCCAGCTCACGCGGCTTCCTGCCAAAGGATCGCAACTCCTTCACTCATGGTCATGCATGTGCGCACCTCGAAGACGAAGCTCGTTCGACTGAACATGCGGCGGCAAAGAAGACCAGCGCCTGAAGTCGAGGACGATCAGCTCGGAACAGCACATTCGAAAAACAATTGACCATCTTGCAAAGTCAGCAACTGCTCACCAAGAGGAACCTCGGCGTTCATCTGGGCCTCACCACAACTTCTTAAAAACGTGGACCAACCACTGGGTACTTGTCCATGCGAAGAGTGACATCACCTGTATGGGAGATCATAAGCCATGTTTGGAACAACTGATTGCACTGTCCTTTTTGCACGCTTTGTTGCGTATCGTCTGCCTGCATGAACTGCAATCAACATCAGATCTACTTGTGTGTCGGACTTTCCCCTAATCACCTAATCAAATAGACTTTTCGAGTCCTGAAATTGCTTTCTGAGAACTGCTTCCCCTCCCCTCACGCCGCACTTTCGGGACAATTTGTACAATGCTGTTCAGCTCACACTTATTTAAAGCAAATACAGGTACCAGGGTCCTGATGTTCATACTGTAGGACCATCAACAACCCCAGGCGGCATGCAAACACGCAGTTTTTCAGTTGCACGGTCGCGATTGTCGCGTGCTCCCCTCAACAATCGTTTTTATCGGATGTTTCTTTCGGTCGGTTCCAGCGATTTATTCAGCATCTTATGGGCCATCTGCAGCCTCGTGCGCCATGTTCGTACTGTGGGCTTAGTGTGCTATTTGCACAGTCGTTCAAACATGTCTCGTCGAGCAAAGTGAAACGAGGGGTGTCCTCGGGTGTGTTGATCCCGACTCGTGAAGGCTTAGAGGGTCGGGGCTGCAGGCCACGCTTTGACAGTTGCAGGACTGGCCCCTTCTCCGAGACCTTTGGAGCTACCTGAGGCACTCGGGCGTCTTCACTACATGAGCCTTCTGTCTGTGGCTACACCTCACGAGCCGCTCACCTGACCATTCTCTCGCCAAAGCCTTCTTGATCTTCTTGTGCTGCTTCTCATTACGCAACTTGTTGACTCCATTGGCGAATTCTTTGGCGCTGCTTGTACTGTCACAGGTGCCGACACCGTGCTTCGGATGCAGCGCGTTGGTACGAAGGACAGAACTTGCCCCAAAAACGGTGCGAGACGTGAAGCTTTTGAATCATGGCAAGGCGTGGAGAAGTGAATGACAAGACTTGGACATTTCGTCGACTCCGGAGTAGCTGCAGATGGGATTTGCCGGTCGGTGCTTCATGGAACGGTTTTGCCCTACCGGAGATGAGACAAGGAGCTTCTGTCGAAAAACCTTTGGAAGGTACCGCATGTACCGCATATGTCAAGACACGGCAGCTGAGCCAGCTGAGAAGCCAGGGCTTTGGCTTGATGTCCCATGTTGCTGGAAGTTGGATGCACGCGCAAGGGCAGAATGCTTCCATCGGGAAGCCAAAGCTCATCTTTCGGCACCTGCACGCGAAGACATGGCAAGACCTTTGATGCTTTGATCGGACTCCTGCTTTGCGGCGTGGCAAAATGATGCACGGCCTTTGATGGTAGCCAGGCTCCACCGCTGACTTCCTGGAGTCAGAGCATGTATATCCGAAAGATCTCTGGTGGCACTGCCAGCCTCCAGGCTGCGAAAGCATGGCCTGCCAACTGTGTGCGCGACAACCGCTTGCTCGAGCTCCCTCTTAGGCACCGTGAAAGCAACAGCCCCGGCCCCTAGGCCCCACTGATAATATAGGGGCTAGGCATTGCATTACAGGCTGAGAAAGATGAACAGGAAACTAACTCACACCAAGCTCGTTTTGCCCTAGACTCGGGATGCCTATTCGGGTGATGTCCGAGAGCCCAAGCCGCCACTCCACGCGTGCAGCCGAACTTCCGCCCAAACTGCGCTTGACACTACCGGCTCCCATCTATGTCTGCGTGGGTGCTGCGCCGGTCCCTCCTCCTACCAGTGACCACCATGCCGGAGCGATCATTCAAGGAGGCGATGAGGGTGTGGCGTTCAAAATCTCGTACCTCTAGCAACAAATCCTGCACGGCGTTGAGGGAAGTAGGTACTTCCGAACGACTCACCTTCGTTGCTCTTCGGATGGCACAGTCAGCGGCCTTGGAGGCATACTAACGTTGCATGGTCCTTTTGACTTCAACTCTCAAAAAGTAGGGAACATCGGGCTGCGCGCAGCTGCCGCCGCCCTGATTGGAGCACACTCTCCGGCTCTGAGCCTTCCCCTGCGACTGGTTGAATTCATTTTTGTGTTTATCTCTTACATTCTGCGAAGACGCAGTCACAGCCTCGCCTCTTTATCAGATACTCCTGGGTGCATGGCAGACTAGCAGCAAAAATGAATATTCTCAAAATAAAAACCCCAGCACGGTCCAGCTCCGGCATTTGGTGCCCAGCACCACAAGGAAAGTGAAATCACGCCGTTTTGGCCTGGCCCAAACCCCTGCCACCACGACCACCACGACCGCCACGACCGCCACCACCGCTACCATCACCACCAGCACTGTCACTGCCCCCTCAAGGAGAGCAATGCGCACCACCATTGCCCGCCTCATCTCTGCGCGCATGCCAGTTCCCGTTGGGCCCACTCCCTTCAGAGAGAGGCAGACCTGAGACGCAACCAAACATCTTTAAGAGCAGATGCGTTGGCTCGGCAAATACATTTTCGATCATTTTCGTGCATGAACCGGAAAGACGATTGAGACTCAACAATGGGACACGGCCATCAGTTATAGGCTATAGGTCATTAGGTCCCTGATACTCAGGGGTACCTTCAACTGCGACATTCACTTATGCCTTAAGGTCAGAAGCTGTACTGAAGCTGTATTCGCGTGCGGCTCATTCTCCTGGACCCCGAGGCTCTGGCCCAGCCTTTGGCTCCGCCAGCGTCTGCCCTCAGAGCGCAGCGTCCACGAGTGCCATGAACTCGCATCATGCACGCAAACTTAACACATAACTTCTGCCCTGCGCTGTGAACGGAACGTGTACTCCTGAATCGGGTGATGGTAGTAACCTGATTGGAACTTGCATGCTGTTGAAAAGCAGCGTCTGTGACACGGCCGTGCCAAACCTGCCCAACCACTGATCTGCGACATCGACATTCAGAGTCTCAGGATGGGACGCGCCCAGCCGTTTTCCGAGCTGAAACACAAGCCCGTACACTTGGGATCATCTGCGCACCTGGGAACTCACAAGCTTATTACTCTCTGACAGATCAACATTCCACTTCTCCACGCTTTGTGGCACCATTTGGCTGCATGATTGAGATCCACCATCCTCAGGGACCTCAGCGACGAAGGAGCTTGGAGCACACAGTGTCTGGCAAATCCAGAGCCTATCGAAGCTGGCACTTTGAGTTCGGACGCCGGGTAAATTGACAACGTTGGCCATGCCAATCATTGCCAACAGATCAGCGCAGATTCCACTTGTGAGATCTTGTGAGGAAACGAGCACGGAAGCACGGAAGCCCGGGTTCCGTTCTTTGCTTCTCCGCAGTCAAAACGTGCGAGGCCCGAGTGCCGAAGACATCGTGATGTAGGTATAGACGAAACGAACAAAACACCCTTCTTCGTGCGCTTTCGACACCAGCAACTACCATGATTCGGCCACATTGCAAAAAATTGCCAGTGGATGTGTTTCCTTGGGGTCTGCCGCCGAGATCTTGGTATTTATATACGGTGCTTTCTCCTCATCCACTGTCCTGCCTGCCTCTGCTTTTTGGCCCGTGCGTCTGTGCCCCAGCGTCCTATGTACGACTTGAATTCCGAATGTTGATGACACGTACGACGTACAGTATTGCCTGGTGGCATCTGTGGCCCAGACTGGTATGGTTCTCCAGCACCGACCTTTCACAGACTTGCATTCACAGCAGACAATGGCCAATGGATCCAGAATGCTTCGCTTGCGATTCCGACGGGGAAAGATTCACACAAGTAGAATAAGTAGAATAGGTGGATGCTACGCAGAGTCACAGCAACTCTTCCAGCCTTGTCGGGAGAGTTGTCAAGTTGACGCCTCGGCGCCGCAAAAGAGCTGCACAACAGTGCCCCGCATCATGCCTCATTATACTCATAACACAGATGCCACATAAGACATGCAGAGACGAGCGGCGGTCGTACCTGTTCCCCTGAACTGAACCATCTTAGCCCCCGACAGCAAGTTTAACCGAAGCTTCTGCCTGTGCATGATGAAAGAATCGCGTGCAGAGCAGCCTTTCTGTCGCCCAAGTCTGAGTCCCTAGCCCTTCTTCTTCAAGAAAAGTTTCACTGCCGCGTCTTGATGCGGTAACCGCATTGTTGAAGGCATCACAGTCGACATAGAAACTGCTGCCCAGGCCATGCAGGCCATGCAGGCCATGCAGTGCTCGCACAGAGCCCATTCTGAGCCTGAGCCATGCTATGCCAGGTTATGCCATGCTATGCCATGCTATGCCAATGCTTCGGAAAATGCTATGCGCTATCGTGTTTTTGCAAACAAAAAGGCAACAATCAGAGGTTCAGCGAAAGTGCCGCAACAACTGTCCAGAAACAACTTGCTACGCTGGAAAGCTTCGGCCGATTCCGCCTTGTTGGCTCTGCCGTTGTCACCCCATGCCGGAAGCACCGAAGTACCCACAACAGGCTTCCAGTTGCAGCAAGTCTGTCGACTGAGCCAAGCAGAATATCAAGACATGTCCAGCAGGAGTGCATCTGTCCCACTCTTTGATGTTGACCTATGCCTCTCAAGACAAACACCGCACATCACCGCACAGTCACAGGCAACACGAATTCAGAATCCGTTCGAAATCTGGGAACAGCATACCTTGAAACCAAACCCTTCAAAACCTACACTTTCAATCCCGAAACCCATCGAAACCCCTGACCCTAAACTTGCAAAACCCTTCTGACCCCTCATTAAACCACAGCGGAACGCAGCACGGAGCGGAGCGTCGGATTCATGTCAATCAGTAAAGTCGTTAAAAACACAATAACGTCAAAGATGTGGTCGGTCGTTCTGCCTCCCTACTTCTCAGGGCGGCGCGAGGACAAAACAAAAACACAATGCTGAGCCCCTTTCCTCCCACCCCATCGATTGCTGTTTTTGGGACCCCGTCAAGAATGTCTACCTGAAGCTCCAAGCTGAGCTGCGCCAAACATGCTCTGGGCTTCAAACTACGAGTGCTGAGGTCATTTTGGCCCTTTTCTGTTTTGGGGGGGGGGGGGGGGGGAGGGGGTACACTTATCAAAGGTCAACGTTCTGGAGCTGCCGTTTTGTCAACACCCATGGCGCCGGCACTAGAATATTGACATTCTTGTGACGGAAGAAGCATGCACACTCATCGTACTGCAAGTCACCGTTAAGGCTTTACAATCTCCATGGTAGACCGAATACTAGTACTCGCCCCTCTGGACACAAACCGCCGAAGCTCAGCTCTGAGACCCAGCTGCTTCCTGCACAGCACTAGAGCTCTCCGCCGTCTTCTGCTTTTGTCTGTCTTTTCCACGCGCGCGAGTATCCTTTGACTCACGCTGAGCTCTTGGGGCGCAGTCGCGTGTCCCGGCAGCGGCCAGGACCTGGCAGGCTTGGAATGTTCTGGAAGTCCTCTCCGAGGCCCTTGGGGTCCATTTGTGGCTCTGAGGCTCTCGCCGCACGTGGCGTCGCTCCCGCTTTCATGCTGCCGCGGATGAGACGAGGCAGAAGTTAATTGTACAGGCCCGCGGCAACCTTAGATCCGACATGTGCTGGAATGCCTCGAGAGGGCATAGTCTGTGGGCAAATTGCACAGCATGTATTAAAGAGAGCAAGCCACTTTAGACGAACCTCAGAAGAGGCTCAGCAAAGGTTCTGATGGGATGCCAGAAGGCATGAAAAAAGAGCGCTGCTCCCTTTGTGGGAACCTCCGGGCTCATCCAAGGGTCGATTGCTTGCATTAGTCTTGCATTGCTGGCATGCTGCATTGCGAAGGCTTCGGCCTTCTGGGCATACTTGTTGTGCCGGCCCGGAGTCTGTTGCCCATGTTGCCCACGGTTACCCTCATGCTCCTGGCCACCATCCTCAGGGTGAAAATCAGAAAAACACAGCAAAAGCTTCACGCACGATGTTGAAATTGTTAACTTCGCAATGTTGGTCAAGGTTTTCTCCACATTGGCCTTCTTGGAGCTTCGCACCGAATGCTTTGCAGATGCAAGGTGCGCAGCAGATGAGAGGCTTTCAAGGCTTTCGTTCTCGGAAGCCGAGCCGTGGGCCCCGCCCGAAATTGCTGACTGGTGCCGCTTCGGGCGATCATGGGCTCCAGTGTCTCTGCCAATGCTTCCCTCCCGAAGACTGGGTCGCTTGGCATCCTTGCCTTCCATTGTTTGCTTCGGCTTGCTCGTCGTATGCCCCTGCGTGCAATGGCCTTAGCTGGAAGACATGGGCACACTGGCCGTAGGGCCCAACTATGCAGCAATGCAGCCAAGCTCAGCCGCGTGCCTGCATATATGCCACGCAATCCATCCCACGTCACTGAAGAATGGTCAGAATTGTGGCCTGGATCTCTCGAACAAATCGAACAAAGACGGCACACTCACCGTACAAAAGAGCCGCTCAGGTTGCCGGCAATGGCAAAGACCGTCCATGTGTCTCTGCGCACCCGGTGGACAAGCGACCAACCGGCACTCACCTCTCAGTTTTCAAAAGGGGGCAGCAACTGCGAGTCACTGTGAGCCACAACGAACATGGGCAAGCGGTAGCCTGAGGATGGAACCATGCCAAACACGATTTCCCCAAGCATCCCAGGACATGTGGCCGCCAGCCTCGTCAGACACTGGCGTGGCCCGAGACCATGGCTTGAGATAGCGAACGGCACCATGTGATCGTGTGCCAACTTGTTTCTTAGTGTCTTGCGTAGCCATCGCGACAAGCGCAGGCCAGGCGTGTCTTGATGATGGTCAGGTCCACGGTTTGGTAAACCTCAAGCGCATGAAGCCATGAAGCGCAGGAATATCCCGGGCGTGGAATCGCAAGCCGACTGGGTTGCTATGGTTTTTGCTGCGGTTTGGCATGGCAGGAGAAAGCATGAGAAAGCCCCCGGCGGCGTGAGGCGGACAATGGAAATCGGGTGAACACCTGATTGTGGGCTGTTGCCCCCCAGAAGGGGCACTTGAGAAATGGAATGTCTGCAAGCAGTAAGGTGACCTTGGCCTCTTAATGTTCCCTGTTTAGAAGGGGGGGGGGGGGGCGGGGGGGCCCTCAAAAAAACACAAAAAAAGCCACGTTTGCTGGGCTATCCAGGCCCATGTGTCTGTTTGGGGGTGCCCGGTGGAGTCCGCAAAAAAGTCAAGTCTTCCAGGTGTCGAAAGAATATTTCGTGTGGCGCGCCTTTAAATTCAATTGCCGGGCCTCCCTGATAAATTGATATAAGTTCATGCCTTTTCATATCATACAATAAATAATCCAAGTTCAAGAACCGCGTAAAGAACTGCGACTGTTCGTGGGGCAGGGCGGGGGGGTGGGGGGGACACACCAAACAAGTCCGGTCCAACACTAAATAGAGCCGTTTTTTGGCCCTTTCAGAAGGCCCTACAAGTCAAACATACCCAATGAGCTCGATTTGGAGCCCCTTGTTCCCGACCATCAGAAGACTTCAGCAGAGCTGGGAAGCTTCGCTTGCCGAGGCGGACAAGCTAGCTCCAAACTTATACCAGACGAGTCATCGAGAAGTGCAAGCAAAGTGCTCGCCAGAATATGTCAGCAGCGTGGCGTTCCACGTGATCCGCGTACCATTGTACGGCGGCCTCTGAGTGACACGCGGAGACGCGGAGAAGCGATGTCTGAAGTGGTCTGAAGGCTCTGCGTCCGAGCTTCAAGCTGACAGTGACACAGGCCAGTCCTAAGTCTAAAGGGTTAGCGATGGCAAAGTGCTTGTCGCATGACATTTGAGCGTGTACTCATAGGATTCGCGTAGAATCACAGCTCGCAACAACGCGAGACCAAGCCCGTGGCTCATCAATATCAGCATGCTGCGGACATGCCACACGCTCGCACTTGCCAAGCATGCGGACCTCTGCAATGCAGGCGGAGCATAGCCGGCACTACTTTTTGCCACACGCAACTCACGAAATCACTGAAAAACCAAGATGGCTACCGTTTGGGTAAAGAAGATGAACCTATCTATAGTATCTACTTTGAACCACTGAATAGCTCATCTTGGGCTTGGGCCCTGGGCTTGGGTCCTACATGGTCCTATTGGTCCTATTGCATACTACTGCAGAATGGCATAATCTATTGTGCGTTGTGAAGAGAGTGGCTGCCTTCTCTGCATCAGGGCTGGCAAAGCCGACCATCCGAGCTCCGGCATGACCAGGAGCACAAGGATTCTCGTCAATGCATTGACCTTGTATCGGGGCCACAGGAATAGGAAGCATGGGTGTCCCTGTTGTTCTGTCAACTCAGAACGCTGCCAGAATATCGATTGATGTTTGGGTGCCAGAGAAATCCTCCGACCTACATTGCAATCATCGCAGATGACTGGCCGACCCAGGTTCGTTTCGGACCGACCCGACACCCATCCTACTCGAACGATTGCTGTATCTCCATGTTCCTCTTGCACCACAATCCACCAGCCAAGCGGTACCATGACAAGTGGGCAGAAATCCGTCGATTGTTCCGGAGTTAGGCCCCTGCCCTCCCCCCTCCCCCCTCCCCCTCCCTCCCCTCCCCTTCTCAGATATGTTTCTCTGACATGTTGACCTTGAGCTGCGCTGTTGTCTACTGCCGTGTTGCTTGTGCAAAACAAAACATACCGCCCTTGAGACACACAGGTGACCATGGCAACATTTTCGCGGTTTTGCAAGTTTACGCGCCTGGACAGTGTCGGCCAGGCCCTTGTGCATGTATAGCATGGTGCTTCACCGATGCTTTCTTCGCACATTGAACCGTCACTTCAGGCTCAAAACATCTCAAAACTCACTCCGAGGCTTCATGCCCCAAATTTCGCGCCCACTGTATAAATGCAGCCGTGATCTGACCTTCTCACCCAAAACTTTTTTGGAAGCCAATGATATGTGGATGCAAACCGAGTGTGGAGAAACAACAATCTTGCTGCCTGTGCAAGATCTGTTGAATAGTTTGCTATGGGTAGCTTGTATCGGCGACTGGCGTTCTGCAGGAATTCAGAGACCCCATTGCTTCTCCGCGTGGCATGGATCGGATATGGATCGGTTTAATGCAGTCTTTTCACGAGTGCAAAGCTTGTTCTACTACTTCGTGCTTTGAGCGGTAAGATGATTGCGCGGACGTGCTTTCCATCTGAAGCAGCCAGAGTCCTTGCCAGCATGGCAGTGGCATTGCGGACGTCGCAACTGGTGATCTACCCAGTCCTCATCAACGATGAGCAAGATGAGCATGACAGGGCTATTGCTCGCAGTCTTGGAAAGTCTTAGTTGAAGCTCTGAGGTTCTGAGTGCACCTTGAGGCCTGATGAGGCCTGAAGCCTGTACCGAGCTTCCCACCGCTGCACGTGATGATCCGTCAGGACACGGGACAAGCTTACAGTCTCCAACGAAGGCTGCATCCTCAAAGCAGCAATGCGTCATCATTGCACTGTCTGGTGTGAGTATGTGTGAGTATGTCTGAGTCTTGTGAATGTCGGTTGATCGTCTCAACGGCCGAGGTCGCAGCTCCGATGGCAGTCTTTCCATCTGCGCCCAACACGGTGAACATCAGGTGAACATCAGGTGAACATCAGGTGAACATCAGGCAACACCCAGTACAGCACGGATCATAACTGCATGGTTGAAAGGACAGCGATTCATTTGAAGGACAGCGAGCCTGTGCTCTCCGCTCGCCTGCAAGCATTGACCACTCATGCACAGGGTTGGCACAAGCAGGAAGAAGCTGCCTCCAAACGATGTGCCCAACATGTGGAGGCTGACAACTGCATTCCTTGATCCATTTATGGCGACTTGTCGTCGTTTGGGTGCAACGAGCATGTGCTGCCGAGGGGCACCTGCATACTTTCCCGTCATTGTGCCGTTTGGACAGGGAGTTCGCGTGCAAGCACCAGAATACTTGCCTATCGAAGTCAAACAAAACTAGGACATGTTGCTTGGACACTGAAGCCTTCAGCCCTAATCATTTGAATGACAGATGCCGACCATCCCAGCCTTGAGAAGCATCCCAGTCCAATCGGCCAGAGAAGCCGAAGTTGCATGAACAGCCTGGCACATGACTTCCTGACAAGGCACAAGCCTTCACTCGAAGGGGTTAAGACTTGGCAATCCATGTTGCTGTCAGCCTCCGGCTTGTGTGGACATTGACGAACCTGTGCAAAGGAAAACTGCCAGCAAAGCAGCACCATCCAGCAAGGAAGAACATGCTGAGGTCATCCGATATCACGCCGCCCCGATGCTCGGCGGAGGACGACAAACCGCGAAGGCCACTTTGAAACCCCAAAGGAACAAAGTCTGAGCCTGGAACCGTCGCAATTGCTACAGGACATGCAATCAGTGAGGGAGGAAGGATGCGCAACAGCCTGGTGGGCAATTTTCTCTCTTCGTTGCCGATGGCTTCCTGGCCCAATCGCAGGCAGGCATTCAATTGGCATTGTTTTACCGTCCCCTTCACATCGGAGAAGAGGTTACAGAACCGTAGCGGTCCTCCAGTCAGACACTGATGGCGTTTGCATCATCACCGGTACTTCCTCAATGCATGAAGACATATGAAGCAAACCGATGCGTCCTCACGCGGTCAGTCAAACACCCACTCAAAAAATGCGATTCTGAGCAGGCTGACTGGTGGCGAGGCAGCGCCTAGCCAGCAAGCTGAGCCCCTACATGCCCCTACTAAACATGCGCTGGCTGTCGTGTTGGCCGCAAAGCAATCAGAGGTCTCAATGTCTCAATCCACTGAGCAGCCACGAATGCGACACGTGTGCGACCCTGACCCAACATGAGAGAGCAGGGAAACAGCTGCTAAGAAGTGCAGGGAAGACCTCTCCATCGGGGCGATGTCAAGACGACCCACAAGCCTCAATGACTTATCGTGACGAGATCGAAGGAGTTCACAGGACACGCCGTCTAAATCCGTCCGAGATCCACGCACAACCCATCCCATCGAAAGAACGAGGGCATAAGACTGCCCTACTACTGCCCTACATGGCACGATGTGGCCGTAGCCGAGCCAGCTTCAGGTGGGGTGATTCATGCGGTTGGGGGGTACTTCTCAGCAGGGGTACTTCTCAGGAGGTCCCAAAAAGCCCAGCAGAGTTTGGCAGACATGTACATGCTTCAGCAATTTTTCGAAGAAAAAAGAATATAAAAGAAAAATGAAGCAGATTTCGGAAGAACAGCAAATTATGCGGAAGATGTCCGAAGAAATGTGTACGATGTAGACGATAGTTTTGAGCAACATATCCGCGAGAGGTTTCAATGGACCGCTGTCACGATGTAGACGATAGTTTCGAGCACAGATCCGCGAGAGAGTTTAAATGGACCGCTGTTATTTGCAGGTTGGTAAACTGAGAGGGTTTCACTTTCAGGCAAGGCGTGGGGGTTGTGTAGTCCTTGCTAGAAGCCCCGTCCCAAACCCAGACCTCCCTGCTGGGCGATGTTGAGGGTTTAGGGTTCAGGGGTTCAAGGTACCCCGCAAGCTCTTAGGGCTCCTGGAGCAAGCAGGCCCAGTACAAGGTTTAGGGGTGTTTAAAAAATCCCATACAGCCCCAAGAAAATATACGCATACCAGCCGGCCACCGAAAGTTAGCATTCCTGCTCAGGCTACGTGCTCGGCGCATCTCCTTATACCTCCATTCCTGCCCACCACCCCCCCCCCCCAATGTATTCATAGGACTCAAAGAATTTCTTGCACATCCCTCGGAAGGCTTCGGAATCATGTGGGAGTTCTTCCAACATTCTTCCAAACACTGCGTGGTTTCTTCGAAATTCTTCGGCATCCTTGGGGAATATTCTTGTGTATGGAAGCTGCGCATACATACTATCTTCCTCAAGTCTTCGACTTTCCTCGGAATTCTTCGGACTTCTTCGAGGTTCTTCGATGTCGAAATTCTTCGAAACTTTTCTAAATTCTTCGGAATTCTTCGAAATTCTTCGAAATTCTTCGGAATTCTTCGGAATTCTTCGGAATTCTTCGGAATTCTTCGGAATTCTTCGGAATTCTTCGAAATTCTTCGGAATTCTTCGCTTTGGTTTGCGTTTTTGTGGCCCGTTTTTAGCTGGGTAGGGCGGGTTGGAATCATTCGGAATGAGTCTGTCTCTTATCATGTGGGATTGAAATCTTGGTTTGGCAAGGGCCTGGAGACAAAGCAAACCAGCAGCCCGCCAAGCGCCACCAAGTCACCAAGCACGGCATTCCAACCGAGTGCAACCCCTAGACTCCCAACCACAGTGTAGATTTTTCATGAGGGAAATTAGGAAATCTTGGTTTTGCACGGGCCTGAAGACAAAGAAGCTTTTTGATGTTTAATTCGCAGCGAGGGCAGTCCCAAGCCTAGCATAAAGCGGAGAGACAGGCTATGAGCCGAAAGTTACAAATACCAGCAAGCCACCAAGTACCACCACACCCCCTAGCCCCCCCGACCAAAACTTATGATTTTCTCCCCACATACCCCCCTCGACCCGCGACATTTAGCAATCACGCTCTTTATGTTCAAGGCTGCTTATTCAGTGCCCCTCTTTAGACCTCATTCTTCCCCTCCACCAAGTTATTCATAAGGTTCAAGAGAACTGAAGTATCCAGAAGTTTTCTGAAAATTGTAGAAGATGTCGGAAGAATCTGAAGAATGAGGCAGAATGAAGAAGTTGTCGGAAAAATCTGAAGAATGAGGCAGAATGAAGAAGTTTGGTGAAGATTTCAGAAGAAAACAGGAAGATTACAGCAGATTTCAGCACATATGAGCAGAATTTCGGATATTTAGGCAGAAAATTGCACATTGGTCAGCAGGTTTCAGCAGCCTGACAAGTACCCTTCTGAAAAACCCCCCTATTCTTGGAGAAGAGTGATGACGATGATTCATGCGCTCCCGTGAATACTCTTGAAGTCTACAGCCGCAACAGAATTTTTTTTCTGCGCAAAGCGCCTCCCATTAACATCCGGCCCTGGATCTCGGTGCATGATCTGTGTTAGAGGCACCATCCACGGCTTGTCAGACTTTGTACAATGGATGAAAGCGGGCAGGTGCCGAGTCTGTACACAGGGTTCGCGCACCACATGTGAGCATATTCGCTGTCCACAGCTCCTTTCGAAGGACATCTCTCCAGAGCGCCTAAACGGGGCTCAACGTCAGTCCCACAAGCAGAAAACTTCACATCGTTGAAGCCATGCTCGGTGGAACTGCGGGACTGATGCGGAAGTCTTTCTGCATCGCCCATTTCTGGCTCTAGTGGCTTAACATCAACTTTTACGGGCGGTGAAGAATTCAAACCTCTGCAGGAACTTCGGAAGGTCATGCCGAAAACTGGCAAGAACCGACAAAAGCCACAGCAGCATCTGAGCAGCTCCATCGGGCCACTTCCAATCTTGAAATTTCTGCACCGAAACCGCAGCGCTCAACCGCCCTCTGAAAGGGAAAGTCTCAGGGCACGCCGTGGCCGGCTAAGCCCAGCGTTCGCGGCGTTCGCCTCTGCACTCCATGAGGCCTGGCATTGAAAACAGTCTTCGCACGTCTTGGTGTAAGTGTAACTGTGTAACTTGATTATGAAGTACAGCAATGTACAGCAGCTAGGCTAGGTCTCCAGCTGGCGGGTGAACATACCGCCTGGGTTCAACATTCAAGGGCTGGCACACTCAAACATGAACGCATCCATCCTTGCAATGAGGTCCCAACAGGCGGCAGAGCTCGACTCATCCTGAGCGGCATTCCGCCTCAACCCTGCGAATGCCCAGACCCTGCCTGTACTGCGATTACGCGTCACCTTGTCTGGTGCTCTGGACCGAAGGCCTTCCAACCCTCTGCACTTCAAAAACTTTAACACCTTTCTGGCACTCGAAGTCTGCAAATTGTCTGTACTACTGCAGTGAAGGAGCAAAGCGTCTCGCCCTGAAGCTGCGCAAGGCCTGCGGCTGACTTGCTGGAGGTGATGGACGCGAGTACATGGAGCACTCATCAGTCATCAAACGCTCGTGCCTCCAGCCAGAAAAACCACGGACCACAGGTGTCTGACCACTCCTTGCAGGTGCAGATGCCAGCAAAAGTCGGCTTCTCTGACAGATTTCTGACGCAAGCCACCTGCCGCTGCTCGTCTTTCGGGAATTTCCCCGACCGAACCCGAAATCCGAACCAAACACCGCGAACACCAGTCAAGTCCTAAACCGCCGTGGCTGCGAACCTCTAAGCTTGATGATGAGTGTTCAGTGCTAGACGTGGAGTGCGGACTGCCTCGCACTACAAACTACAACTTAAGACCACCAGCAGGCAAGCATCTGGCTCATCACCAGTTCGGCAAACAGTGGTGCCGAGGGCCGGCATGCCAGGGCAGCCAACCCGGCCAGGTGCCAGTGGAGGGAGGCTCACCAAGTCGGCAGGTAGCAATGCAATGTTTTCCCCACTGGGAGGGTGTTCTGATGTCTCCTTCTCATGAAAGTCCTGCACGTCATGTAGCAAGTTGATTGCGGCCAAAGGAACTCCAATGATGTGAGTTAGAACGTGTTCCTCTTGCGCAGTTACAGGTGAAGTCGTGCTGCCGTGATCCGTACGGGGAAGAATATCTAAGTCTGCAGAATCCTGATGTGGATGCTGATGTTCATCCCTGTGGGTGTCATTGATGTCAAGCAGCGGCTCTGACTCCGTATGTATGGACGCCAGCGGATGTGTCGGGGCTGCCATGCCAGTTCCATCTTCTGCCACGTGCGAGAGTTGCGAGATTTCTTCAAGAGGGATGTCTTGTGAAAACTCAGGTCTCTGTGGCCTCAAAGATTGCAAAGCTAGCGACATTGGTCTTCGAGCTTCGGCACGTGCTTGAAGCGGTGGCACGGGCGGCACCCAAGATGCGTCACTAGTTTGATCTGAACTTGGCCAGATCAGCTGATGGTTCAGGCAAAAGGAAAGCACAGACTTTTCGACCTTCTCATTCGCGCCCATGTGGCGATTGAGCTGCGTGGCCTGGCATCCCTCCGCCGACGAAGCCGCGCCGCCACTGTTCTCCGCAGTCATTGACAGATCCAAACAACCGTACGAGCACCAGTCACCCAAATTCGGCGAGGTGTGTTGAAGCGATGCCAACACTCCAACAATGTTGTGCGCAGCATCCGGAAGGAAGAGCATTAGCAGTACAGGGCTGAGCAAGACTCCCAAAAGTTCTTCTGCCAAAGCTTGAATGCGCTGAAGCAAGAAGTCTCGAAGCAACTCCTTTCATGATTGACAGGCAGACAAAGATGCGTCATGTCGCGTCATACCATGTCATGAGCAACAGATTAACCATTCTACAATCCACACGTCCTGACGGACTCGGCGGAAGTGGTCACACAGCCCCGCACCTAGCAGCTAAAGCACAAACCATGCCAAAAACAAAGGAAGCCACCTGCTTGCAGACACAAGAGAGAGCATTAAGACATGGGCGCTGCAAACCACTGCAAGCCCCTGGCAGGCTTGGAATCACGACCGTGAGCAGGCTAAGAGCGGTTTCGAGACTTGATTTCGCCATCATGTTTCTCAACTGACAGTGAGACCACCCTCCCTGAGATGCCTGCAAGGGATGTTAACCGTGCAGGAGATCGCCACTGCTCTGGCAAGAAGTGTGTGCCTCCGAGCGCTTTTGTTGCACACAGCTTAACATTGAGCATGCGTTCCTAAGTACCCCACAGCTCCTGAGGACGAGACACGACACCAATCTCATCAGAGCAACATGCATTCGTAGCCTCGGCTTTCCGAGAAGAGTGTTGCCGTTGAGCGCTGTAATATACTGTAATGGCCATGGCAGAAAGTTAATCTGGGGCAGCTGGGCCTTCCACGGTACGCTTGGCGCATGAGCTGATGCTCCGGCACCTCTCCTGGATCCTGTTCGAATCACTGACGTCAAGGACAAAACAGAGTGCACACAACATGCCCTGTCGAAATCCTGAATCATCATCACCGGCACCATCGGCAACTGCAAAGATAAAGCCTCCGGTCAAAACAGACTCCCGCCCGCCACAGGTAGGCCACAAGCGCAGTAGAGCGTGTGCCGTGCGTGCATGGAGCATCCTACACTCAACAGGCCTGAGCAGAAACAACTGCAACGAGTCTAAGGCATCCAAGCCACCGAAGAGAGCCAAATACCAGAGCAAGTTCTTGTCCTGAACAGTTCGCGATTCGGCCATCCGCGTAACCCCTTCGTTACAAGCTGTTGCAGAAGCTGCGCCTGGACCTTAACGAACAGCAGCGGGCTGTCCTGAACAGACTTGCCCGTGACTTGCCCGTATTTGCCCGTGCGCCCGTAGGTGCATCTGTTCCGCGCCAAAACTTGACTTAAGGATCCGCTGTGAATTTCATTGGTTTCCTGTTTGACAAGACTCAAACACGATCCTGCAGACTCTGAGCAGGCGGCATCCCATAAAGCGACCAAAAGCAAGGCTGCCAGCACCGAGCCTGCAATGCTATCACATCTGTGCTAGAGGGCTGCGCCGTAGCACAGCGAAACATCAACCAGCTCCGTGCTTTTGGTTGGACCGGAGAGGCTGCTGCGGACAGCTCTGTCATGGCTTACTTGCAGTGACTTACTTGCAGGAGGAAGATGACGAAGCAAAGGAGGCATTCGCGGTTTGCATACCTTCATTGTCTTTTGCATATGTTTGCATTGCTCGGCTGGTGGCGGCTGTTGGCTGGTTCTGTCTCAACTGCGGTGCCTTGACAGGTGCAGAAAGTGAATTGGGCCGTCAACACCCAGGGTGGGCCGCGAGTCTGCGCGCTCGTCTTGCTACTTCCTCTAAACCTGCTTTGATTCGGTCGGCCCCTGCCAACAGAAGGGTTTGACAGACTTGAAGTTACTTGGACTTATTTGATGTTCAACCCAGCGTTCTGGATACACGGTATACACGGATATACACGGTATACTGTATACTGTGCTAGATGTGCCATGGCAGCCCTGCCAGGGCCTGCAATGAACTTGGCGCAGCGCTGCACAGACTTGAGAACTGGTGAAGAAGGCGTCGTGCAATGGACGTACGCCTGATCCCAAGGCTGAGGCAAACTTGAACCATTGAAGCTTGGAGCTCATTGTAAGTCGAAGCAGAACCATCGGCTCCCATTGTGTGCCGTCCTCAGCTGCAGCCTGCGCGGCGCACATTCTTGCCTCAAGCAAAACATCAAAACATGGCTCATCAAAGGCTAACATTGCAGGTCATCGCGGTCCAGCGCCTACTGTACAACATTGTACAACCTGGGGTTCTGAGGGTCCTGAGCCATGCGCATTGAAGTCATGGGGCAGCTCGTTGTACTCCCTGAATGTCCAGTGGGCCTTCAACTTTCCGCAAGCAGACGCAAGCATGAATAAGCGTGGGAAAGAACTTGGCAGCAGGCATAGTCTGTCCATTGCCTTTGAAATGGCGACGCCCGCTGTGAGCGAAACTCCTCCGCATGTCCTTGCAACAACTTTTCTAGCTTGATGTCTTACGCGATTCGGTCAACGCATTGGTTTTCGATGGCACCAAACTTGGAACTACACTCATGAAGAAGTACAGCGCAACGAAGATCAGAACGGGGGGGACGAGCACCAGATTCGCCCTGGACAAGCCGGACATTCTCACCGACTCCACCGTATTCACCATATCACGGATTAAGAAGAAGCTGGGTTGCAAGCACTCCCAGCAGACGCAGATTACGCGCTAGTGCCTGTGCCGCGAACCAAGTCGAGCCATTCTTCGTGTAGGAAAGTCAGTGGCAAAACATAACGGGCTGTCAATGCACAGCTCTTTTCAGGTGTTCTGCGGGCCGTTCTGTCCCAAGACGTCGCCAATGCCTGTACATGAGCGTTGATCTGGCTGCAGCATCTCAATCATCATCCGCAGCTGCGACATCAGCCGTTAGCGTGTTCATCGCATCTTCAGCCTCTGGACGTACCATCTCGACACCAACATCATCGCCACCGTCACCATGAAGCTCCATCAGCTTCGTGATGTCGAACTTTGGCTTCTTGAGAATCTTCACCTTTCGAATGAGGCAGTCCTTCAGCGGGAAGATGCCCTGCGCCTGCTTCTCAATCTCTTTGCCAATGGACTCCGGAATCAGCTTCTTTACCAGCTCACGGAGTTGTACTTTGCTAGCTTCTTGGGTCATGATTTCAACCATCTTCCTCCGGATCTTTCTGATCTGAGCTGACTGCGCATAGCAATTGGCTTTCACTTGATCTGGCCGTCGCTTCGTGAACGCTATGCAAAACATGCGCACAACGTAGTTGTCGGTGGTCTTTACATCAACATGTGCCTCAATGAGCGTCTGCCACTTCTTGATCAGGGAGCAGATCTTGTCGCGGGTCAAGTTCATGCCATGAAAATCCGTCAAGCAACTCCTGCCCTGGACTTCTTCAATGCAGAGCCTGATCTTTTTGGAGGCCTGATCCTCATCGTTGTTCAAATCGGCGAGGTTCACCTGAGTTAAAGACTCAGAGTCTTTTTGACATTTTGGCACTTCTAGCATCTTGCACTTAACCTCCCAACGTCGCTCAACCCAAGCCCCACTTTGGTGCCGATCAGCGACCTCCAGGACACGGCCCTTGAGCTCTTCAGTCGCGATTTTGGTCCCTTGAGTTCGGGAGACCAGGGTCTTGCCACAGTTGCGAACGGAGAACATGCTGGGGGCCTGAACATTAATCCAGGGAATTGTAACAACATTGGCAATAATGCACGTGGGTTCAATGTCAAGTGCTAGGCATGTTAGGCAGAAACTGGTCCCAACTCCAGTGAAACGGAATGAGCCGTGCCTTGATGTCATACCACTCCTTGCGCAGAAAGGGATCTCCTGCTTTCTTTTTGCCGCCCTTCTTTCCTCCTTTGGTTAGTCTCTTGTTCTTGCCAACTGCCATCCAGCAAGCTGCGTCTTGGCCGTCTTGGGTCCTTTGAGAGGTCTATCGGTCTGCCCACCCACCTACCGTAGTCTGCAAGCCGAAGCATCCATCAAACAGGTAGATGAACGGTTGATGCATGCTTAAGGACATGTCAGCGACTGAACTGGTGCAGGTGAAGCCCAAGTCTCTCTGCCTCTGGTCTGTTCAAAAAGTCACGTCTAATGCGTCCGCGGTCATCAAGCGCCTTCGGTAACAGCTCTGCCAGGTCTGCAAGCCGTTTCCAAGCTCACCATGCTTGAGTGCGCCACTCCCTGCCATCGAAAGATCACTAGCCGAAGATTCCAGAACACGGCCTTTGTGAACACCTGCGAACTGATTGCACGTGCCAGGTCTGTGCAATCAACGAAGCCCAGAGGCTTGGGCAAGGCGACGGGGTATCCAGGATGGCAATGCTGCAGTGAACGCCTGGCAGGCCCTAGCCATTCCCTGACAGCGACAGAACTGTGGAACCTTCCGAGCCTTGTGATTCGTCAAGCCAATCATGAAGTTGTCCTGAAGGCAGAGTCTGGTTGCGGAAGCCACCTGCTGTTTAAAAGATGTAGTACGACCTCTCGCATGATGATGTTCGCAATCTCGAGGGCAGTGAGCTCATCTTGGACAATGCAAAAGCGAGACTCCTCATGTCATGCTCGAGTCTGCAGAACCACATGATGCTCAGCATTGCTCAGCGCTGCAACGAAAGGACGCGCTCCGCTCCTTCTGCTGCTGGATAAGGCGGGACACGACTTCAGACCATAGCATCGTCTCTAGACTTTCATCAGACGCAATGCCCAGGCGGTCCTGGTGCGAACAACACAAGACTGCTGTTCGCTACAAATCTTTACAAGCGAGACAAAAAGGTGCTGCCTTGTAGTATGATCTGATGGATTGCGCGTCACGAATGTCTTGGTAAACAGTGGCGACCTTGACATATCTTGGCAGAGTCTCCGATTCAACATGATGGGAACCAAAACACCGTTTTAACTTGGCTGCACTTTGCCGTTGATTTCTAGACAAGTCCACACTCATGGTGCACACAAGTCACATTCATGGCCCCATAGAGGACAAAGAGCACCGTGCAAACCAAGACCTCATGAAACTCGCCTTGCAACACTCTTGTAACTGCCACAAAGTTTGCAAATCGAGGTCGCTGCCCCGGCTCGTCGAAAACCCAGGTCCCGAAAGGGCTTTGCATAATAAATTGAGATGGTGCGACATGACCTCCACATGCAAAGGTTGGATACATTGTCAAAAACCTCTATGCAGGATCATACATATATATATATATGTATTTGTTCATACTGATTCATACATACTCTCTCTCTCTCTCTTTCTCCGGGGCTTGGACTCCTCGGAATTGCATGCCAACAAAGCCCCCCAATCGATGAGAAATAACCTCAATTTGCTGTCCAATATAGCTATAGGTCGGAAGCTCACCTACGACCATCATGAGTGATACTGCTCCTAGACTGACATGCTCTATGTGCCCGACAGAACGAACGAAAATCCGATCGTGAATGCCAATGCCACGACATGCCTGCACATCATCAGTCGATGCACAACTCACGAGCTCGCAACAGAAACCAACTCTCTGCAAACCCATTCCTCCAACTGGGCTCCAAACGACAAGTGGATAGCAACAATGCCGCGAAAGCCTTTGACCTATGCTTGGTTCAATTGGGAAGCAAGCATTTTGCAAACATGCCGAAGATCTTGACCCCAGCTTCTGCCAAGCGACTTCGAAATATCGGTAAAAGCAGGTCAGGAACCGTTCCAAGTCTGGCTTGGCATCCCAACCTTACCCACACTACAGCGGGCGACTCCAGCCACGCATCTTTTCATCTAGGGGCGCACCACAACCGAAGAGGCCCGTGTAATGTCACGGCACACGAATGCACACGATGTATGGCCCACACGGTCAAATGCAGGTTCGTGCGACCTTTGATTCACAAACAGCTGCCATTCCGCAATACATGCAGCATCATGCAGCTCACTCCCGTGTGGAAGGCTGTGTAAGCTGTGTGTAAGCACGGAACCCATCGGACAGCCGTTCATACATGTGTCCCGCACAAAGCACGGCCAAGTCCAGCACTAGACTCGACGGGAACTCTAAGGGTACTTGCATGGTGTCTTCATGTGGTCCCTTGCAGTAACGGCTCTGACAGATGGACCACTGGTTGTAAAGGGCAATTATCTAACGACGCCCAAATGAAGGGCGTTTGTATCTACCCAAGAAACAGCAACGGTGGGGCGAGAACTCTCAAGATCTGCATCTGTGTACGCCTAGAGTTCATCAATGCAACAAACAGCTGTCTCTCTTGTCCGGAGGTGCGTCGATGGGCTTCGAGGGGCTTTCTGGTGCAGTTGTACCAAACTCCTGTTGAAGAGAAGTTGGCACCGATTCTTGAACAGCAATGGCTGTGGAAGGGATACGCGGTACTGCTGCACTCACTCTTCTATGGACCGATCCTTTTCAAACACCCCAGCAGGCATTGACATGCTGCAGACCTGGGCATTCACAGCTGACATGCTTGCAACAAGAATACAAAATACGACAGTAGCATACTATCTGAAAACGCACTGATCACAATCTGATCACATATACACACATGTCTCCTGTGAAGCTCTTTGCTCATGACCTTGATTGGACCATCCCAGACCGCCAGCATCGCAAGCGCATCGTACTTCGGCGAAGCATGCACAAGCTTATCGTACTTCTGCGAAGCATGCACTTTAGATTGTGGGGGCGTGCGGGCGTGGGTTCAAGTTGAATCTTGGCCCATATAACAATGCCGTTCGGACAGTTGCCTGAAGTTCTTTCGGCGTTCCCTGAATGCTGGACTCTGAGCTTCCGGCCGAGGCTTTGGAGGCCAGGCTTGGACACACATTTAACACACATGGACGCACGTGGACACACAGTGCCAAAAACAGGAGGTCATCACAAGATTTACGAGGACTCTTTTCTTGCGGCTCCAAACGGGTGAGTTGGACCCAGCAGGCAGAGCCAAGGAGCTGCTCGTGAGCAGCAGTCGCGAGTGCGGCAGTCAAGTGGTGGCCGGAGGACCAATGCGTACCACGCCATTCTCTCCTTCTGGGGCCTAACGCCGCATCTCCGCTTTGGGGCTTCGGGTTTGCCATGCCACAACCTCCAGCGTCCCCATGTTCCCTCGCCTGAACGAGTCAGAAGTGGTTCCTGCGGTTCCTAATCTTGCATAGCCAACAACTACTGGCTGGCAATTGGCAGCACAACACAGCCGGATGCTGCAAGCCCGGTATGTTGGTATTTTGAAGTGCTCACAAACATACAAATTGAGTTGCTTGATGTTCCTGAGGGCAGCTGCAGCCGCCATGCGCGTAACGGTAACTGCCGAATTCTTAAAACTGCAAATGGCAGCGCAGCAGCGGGGCTCCACGTCAGGGCGAAAGAATGGCATCCGGCATGTGCCTTGTCATCGACAAATGATTAAATGTCGATAATGTCTCTGCTCAGCTCTTCCGCACATCCCGGAGTCCGAGAAACTGAAGCTCTGGCATTCGCAGTTTAAGTGTGTTGGCAAACCTTCCAGCGCGTTCGCATTCAGAGTATGCTGGCTAGGAAGTTCTGCCTGTCCATGACTGGAAAGCCCGTTGGGGCTGTGCACATGGAAGAACAGGTCGGTGCCATGCACTGGGCCAACTTTGTTGACTTTGTTGCAACTCAACATATTTCCACTGCCTCTTAATGTTGAACTCGCTGAAGATGCTTTCCATGCTACGACTACAGTTCAGGAAGCTTTATGTCTGTGTGCTGTGCACATGCCGTCACATGCCTCACTCCCTGTTGACAATTCAGAGAGTGACAGAGAGTTCTACGCACTATGCTAAGCAATAAGACCTGCTTCGCAGGCTCTTGCCTTGCCTGCTTAGCAGGCAAAACCTAAGGGCTACCACCCTAACAGTGTTAACAGTGTCCCCTTGCTTGACAGGGTACATGCACGGCTACATCGAAACTCACCTAGATGGACAAGTGACCAAACTGACAATGATCGGGTCAGAACTCATTAATTCCAAGCTTTTCACATATCTTGGTCAGCATCTTCACGCCCAGAGAAGTCTTCAGCCTCATGCAACATGCCCACAACATTCAACATACATTCAACACTGCTCAGGTTCCACGATGCATCAACACTGTGGCCTGATGGCAATGATGTCAGTCTTCGATGCTGGACCACGGCATTTTAGAAGACCATCAATCATTTCCTTGCATGTTTCCGCAATGCTTGCGCAACAAGCGCTTGAGGCATGTACCAGTAAGTCAGACTGAAGAATGATTCTCTCAGTTCTCTGTTGCAGTTGCAAGCAGGAGAACACGCTACCTTCCGCCCCGGAAGTCCTCAAACTCCAGCTCGCCACTGAGGTCGGCAT